CGTCGCGCGGGTGTTGGGTGGGAGGGGGGGGGGGGGGGGGTACTAGGCGGTGTTGCCCAGCCCCAGAAGTAAGCTCCCAGCCAAGCACCTGATTGGGGTGGCCTCGGTGGAAAGCCAGGTTTATCAGTCTAATTGACCGCAGGCCTGGGAGGGAGGGTGTTTGTTAGGAGCCGAATTCCCGGCCCACATTCCTGCGCCTGTGGACTGGTCTCCCCCTTCTCAGGGCCTCAGTAGCCCCTCGGGCCAGGAAGAAGGGGGAACCCACTGTGTGCATCAGCCCCTGAGCTGGGCGGGGGAGTTCGGGTTGGAAGGGGTGATGGACAGCAGTGACCAAAGTATCTCTGGCTGAGTGACGGTCCCAGCCCCTGTGTCCTTGCCAGTGGGGGACTTGTCCCTGCCCAAAGAATTGCTGGGTAACAAAGTACCCTAATGTGTGGCACAGGTGCTTTGCAGAGCTCTTAGTGTGCATAAATGATCAGTGCGCGCTGTAGTGGGATGGTGTTGTCGCACCCCCCCTCACATGATGAACTCATTCAACCAGCAAAGCCCTCTGTGTGCCTTTCTCCTCCAGCAGGTGCTTCTGGGCTCTGCTGCCTTAGTGGGCACACACAGCCTTTCTACTACATGCCTACCCTTGCATTGCTGTTCATTTATTTTTGTTCTGAGTCTCTCCTGTTGGTTGATGACATTTGGGAGGACAAGGACCAAGTCAGACTCATCATGTTTCCACTAGAGCCAGGAGCAAAGCTGGGTGCACAGGTGGCGTCTGCCACCGAAATGGGCCCCTACTGGGCACCTGAGAGACCAGAGAGGAAGGGGGGAGGGGCTGGGCCTGATGGGGAGGGTGTGGAGGATGGGGCCATAGGCAGCGGGGAGGACTCCAAAGGCAGGGGCGTGGGCCAGCCCTGCCGCAAAGGCCTCTGGGAGCGGGGCAAGGCCAGCAGCCCAGCACCCCCTCTCCAGGGCTCTCTTTACCACGTATCGATTTTCCTGCCTGTTTACTGGTAGTTATTAAAGGCTGTGTCCCTGGAGTCCTTTTGAAACCAGATTGGAACCCAGGGAGCTGGAGTAATTAGGGCGGCTGCTGCCCTCCCTGCTGGGCTCCGCGCCCGCCATGCCCGCAGCTGCCCATCTATCCACCTCACAGGCCCAGGCTGGCCTGGACCAGACTGGGAGTGGGGGGGTGGCCTGCCTGGATTTCGATCCTGAGATTTCCGAGCCCCCCGCCCCACGGTGGCCTTGGCCTAGATTCTCTGCAGAACAGCAGGCCTAAGAGGGGGCTGGAGGCCACTAGGAGATGGGCAGGGCCGCAGGCTGGCAGCCTGGATGCAGCCTGGTCACTCTGCCCTGTCCTTGAGCAGCCGCAGCCTCTCCCGCCCCCAGGGAACCAGGCCGGCCTCTGGACCTGTGGCCGCACAACAGTTAGGGACCTGAGTCAAGTGTGGCCCACTTCTGAGCTTGTTTTTCTGTGTCTGCTTTTGTCCTTGCCTGCTCATTCCTCTCCCCCATTTCTTAAGAATGTTTGGTTGAAAAATTCTGATCTCCGTCCAGTGGAGAGGCAGGAGAGGGCCTCTGGTGAGGTGTCAGCTGGCGGTGGACAGGGGAGCTGGGCCCCAGAGATGTTGTGGGGGGTGGCGGGGGGGGGCAGGAAGGGAGCAGGGAGTCACAGCAGGAGTGAGGGAGGGGCTGCAATGTCAGGGGCAGACACAGAGACCAGAGCCGTCAGAGAGACATCAAGCCCCCTGTGGGAGCCGGGCTGGTACAAGGGGGGCTGGGGTCAAAGAGACAGGAGTTTGAGAGACAAAGAGAAAAGAAGGCAGGAAACTGGAGGCCAGAGCCATCACTGGGAGTCGGAGAGCAGAGACCAGACTGAGAGAGCAGTGGGGACCTGGGGAGGAAACAGCAGCAGGGAAACAAAGAGCAGCATTGATTGAGCACCTACTATGCGCCCCTGCGCGGCTCAGAGCTTCTGTGTACTCGTTTTATCCGCACACACTTTGGGTCATCTCCCATTTGGCAATGAGGAGACTGAGGTCCTGGGTGGTGATGTTCTGAGAGCAGTGGGCTGGGAGCAATGCTTCCCTCACGAAGGAAAGGAAGCCCCAGCTGGGACCGGGATTGGCTTCTGCGGACAGCCTAGGGTACTCCCGCAACAGGGGGTGCACTGTCTCACGGGCTCAGTTTAGCACTTCGAGCTCCTGCCCTGAGAACGTGGTCCTCACAACCACCCCCTGCCACCTACAGGTGGGGTTCCTGGGAGCCTCAGCCCCTCGCTGTTGGTAGCCTTGAGAAGAAGCTCAGAGTGTGGAGGGGACAGCCTGCCAAGCAGTTCCTCCTCCCTTTGGGGGTGGCTTCCCGGAGGGAAATGATCTCAGTTTGGGGCACCCAGACCCTGACGGGAAGGGGCCCGTGGGA